TCCCATGCTTCGTCTCGCTCTCTTGCTCATGCGCTATGAGCCAAAGCCTGGGATATGGGAGCGCCTAAGGCGGACTACATACCTAAGCTTACCAGCTTGTTTTCGACTTCTTGGGCCTTCTTGGAGCGCTGTTGGGCCGTCTTTGAGCGGTCTTGAGGGTTTCTCGGGCCGTCTTGGGGTGATCTTGGGGGCCTCTTGGACCGCCTTGAAAGGTGTGAAAGACGAAGAGGCGGATATGTTAAAAATGCACGTTTTCCGAAGGGAATGGGACGATTTTTGCTTGTGGGAGCCCTCTTGGGACGCCGCTTAGGGACCTCTTGGGACCTCTTGGGGCGTCTTGAAGGCCTGTTGGGCCGTCTTGAGGCCATCGTAGGCGTTTGGGGGTGATATTTCGGCGTCTCCCGGCTCTCTTGGACCGTCTGGAGGGCTTCTCGGGCCCCTCTTGGACCGATTTGGAGCCCTCCTGGGCTCCGAAAAAGAGTTCTTGAGGGTTTCTTGGGCCTTCTTGGAGCGCTCTTGGGCCGTCTTTGAGCGGTCTAGAGGGTCTCTCGGGCCGTCTTGGGGTGATCTTGGAGGCCTCTTGGACCGCCTTGAAAAGTGTGAAAGACGAAGAGGCGGATATGTAAAAAATGGACGTTTCCCTAAGGGAATGGGACGATTTTTGCTAGTGGGAGCCCTCTTGGGACGCCGCGTAAGGACCTCTTAGGGACCTCTTGGGGCGTCTTGAAGGCCTGTTGGGCCGTCTTGAGGCCATCGTAGGCGTTTGGGAGTGACATTTCGTTGTCTCCCGGCTCTCTTGGACCGTCTGGAGGGCTTCTCGGGCCCCTCTTGGACCGATTTGGAGCCCTCCTGGGCTCCGAAAAAGAGTTCTTGAGGGTTTCTTGGGCCTTCTTGGAGCGCTCTTGGGCCGTCTTTGAGCGGTCTAGAGGGTCTCTCGGGCCGTCTTGGGGTGATCTTGGGGGCCTCTTGGACCGCCTTGAAAGGTGTGAAAGACGAAGAGGCGGATATGTAAAAAATGCACGTTTTCCGAAGGGAATGGGACGATTTTTGCTTGTGGGAGCCCTCTTGGGCGCCGCTTAGGGACCTCTTAGGGGCGTCTTGAAGGCCTGTTGGGCCGTCTTGAGGCCATCGCAGGCGTTTGGGAGTGATATTTCGGCGTCTCCCGGCACTCTTGGACCGTCTGGAGGGCTTGCCGGGACCTTGCCGGGACCTTGCCGGGACCTTGCCGGGACCTTGCCGGGACCTTGCCGGGACCTTGCCAGGACCTTGCCGGGACCTTGCCGGGGTACTTTTCGTCCGGGGACCCCCGGGTTGAGCAGTTACCGGAGATCTTAGCACGCCTCTGGCCCGTTGGGCCGGCGAATTCTGCCTCGGCCGTGTCGTCGCCGTCGCCGTGGTCGTCGCCGTCGTTAAGGTGAGGAACAGATGCCGATACCTCCAGCCCCCCATCAGGTAGACAGGTCTAACGATCGCTCCGCATCGCTGAGCATTTGCGATGCGGCGTAATCCGGAGTTCTAGTTTTTCCGTCCCGACGTCGCCAGTGTATCGGCGATGCATCGGTCGCGCGGTGCGATCTTTGGACCCCGGTGCCGCTGTACGTCCATCGTCGCCACGGCTGGACTCGTCCCGAAACCCTGGTCAGGGCGCACCTGGGCAGAGGTCCCACAGTCGTCATCGTCCGGCGGCCTCGGTGTTTTCGTCGTCGTCGTCGTCGTTGGCGCTCTTGGCCCTTCCTTGGGGTGGGCCTGCGGGGTCTGGCTCCTCTGCACCACCCCCCCGCTCCCCCACCCGCTTCTTGCATCCCTTCCTTGCCGATCTCGGATAGGGGGGGCGGGGGAGGGGAGAGAAGGAGGAGGAAGAATACCAAGGAGGAGAAGGAGGATGAGCATTATGGATAATATTAGGAGGAGGAGGAGGAGGAGGAGGAGGAGGAGGAGGAGGAGGAGGAGGAGGATGTTCAGGAGGTCGATGAGGACGAACATAATCGGAATAGGAGGAGGAGCCGGAAGAGAAATGGAGGCGACAATGGAGGGAGGGAGGGGGGAAACGAGAAGATGAGGAAAGAAGGAGAAAGATGATGAATATGAGGAATATGTGAGTGAGAGAGAAGATGACGCGGAAGGTTGGAGGATTGCGGTGGGCGGATGAAGACGAGTAGTAATACGAGGAGGAGGAGGAGGAGGAGGAGGAGGAGGAGGAGGAGGAGGGAGAGGCATACAGAGGAGGACGAGGAAGACGAAGGTGCGGGAGAGAAGGAGGAGGAGCTTGGAGGAGGTTGCTGGAGTGGGAGGTGGACGGAGAGAAGGCGAAGCCCGATGTCACATGTTTCGCTCATGGCCGCACGCTGTAGGGATTCTTGCACCCCGGCGTTCCGCGCGGCATCAGGGCCAGGCGCGACACGACGCCCATCCTGGCCTGGGGCCCAGGGGGGGCGTCGCGTCGCACCGTCGACGAGGGCGCGTAGAAGGCTGGCGCCTTGCCGCGCCGCGCGTACTTTGCGATTGGCCCAACAGCCCCCCCGTGGGCCTCGGCAGGGCCCCGGGGGAATTTGCGGGCTGTCGCAAGTTCGCGCGGGGGCGCGATCGCGGGCCGCGCCCTGCGCTGGGAGGCGCGGCCCGCCGCCACACGGCACGCGCGTCGTGGATAGCGGCCTTGCGCGCGCTTTCCCTCCGCGCAGCGCCAGCGCACGTCGGCGCTGTGCGGAGGTCGTGGCCTCTTCCCGCCCACCATCCTTGCTTCCGGCCCCTCCGTGCGTCACCCAGGCCAGGCGCGACGCGAAGCGCATCCTGGCCTGGAGCCAAGGGGGCGCCGACACCCAACACTTCCGGTCCTGGTGTGGCGTTTTCTCGCGTGGGGCGATTCTGTGCGGCGCGTGCTCTGCAGCAGCGACGGGACGCCGAAGGAGTTCATCAGCAACTGGAAGCGCGGCCGGCCACGGTAGCAATGCGGCAAGCAAGTAGTTAACTTAGTACATAAGTTAACCGAGTGCGTGTAGTTATCCCTCTTTGTCCTCCTCTCCTGCCTCTCCTGATTTACAGTCGGGCGCTCCACTATCTGCTTCACAGTCGGACGCTCCATTTTCTGCTCGATAGTTGTGAGGCGCTCCGTTTTCAGCTTCTTTTTTCGTAATTCCCGAAGGGTTGCCAATCTCGCGTTCTTCAGCACACGCGTCCGTCTGGATGCTTGGCTCAGTGGTGGTGGGAGATTTCGCCCCACTTCGGTTCCCGGGACCCTGGTTAAAAATATGCTGCAGCGAGATGGGGTCGAGAGTTTTTGTTCCGGTGTTCTACGATGCTGTTTTTTTTGACGTCGGAATTTTGGGGCCAGGCTTTCCGGACGACAAGTAGCGCAGTCGCCATTGTTATCCGCTACCGTACCTCATGTTCAACATCGCCGTCATTTTTTATCGTTGTCGGTGGTCATAGTCATCATCTGTCAACATCGTCGTAACCATCGTGCCCGCCACTGGCAACGTAATCATTATCTCAACCACCCGTCATCATCGCCGCTATCGCCTTGGCCGTAGTTTTTTATCATCGTCGTCACAATCGTGATTCCTAGACCTCTGGCCACCCTCTCGTGGGACCAGCTCTCCGCCCGGGCCGTCTTCTTGGCAGCCCTTCTTGGGGGCCCAGACCCTGCCTCCCAGATGGGGTCGGAGTAGATGGGGTCGTAGGACCGCGCCGCGTCGGCGATGCGGCTCGATGTGCACTCTGATTTCCTCCACGCCGACGTCGCCGATGCATCGCCGACACATCGGTGATGCATCGACGATGTGGCGCGATGTGGCGCGATCCTCCGACCCGATCCAATCTGACCCCATCTGGGAGGCCTGTAGACCCACACCTCCGACGTCGCTGTTTCACCACGCGGACTTCAAAGAACCGGCTCCTCGTCTCGAGCCGTTGTTTTATAGTCTTGGGGCCCAGCGAGGGCCCCCCAGAGCAGAACGAACATGAAAAAAAGCGGTGCGTTTTTGTTTCTTTCCAAATATTCGAAAGGGTCGAAGGCCCAATAGATTTCAGACAACTCAGATTCAAAGATTCAACAGCCGTTTTTTTTCACGACGCTGCGAGCTCTCGGCGGGTCTAGGCCTCCGAGATGGGGTCCGAGTAGTTGGGGTCGGATGATCGCGCCCTGTTGCCGATACATGGGCGATGCGGCTCGATGTGGAACCCGAGTTTCGCCACGCCGACGTCCACGATGCACTGCCGATGTCGCCGACGCATCGGCGATGCATTGGCGATGCGGCGCGATCCTTCGACGCCATCTACTCGAACCCTATGGCCTCTGGTTGGGAGGCGGCCCCCAGCCTCCGCGCTCCGAGAACTGCGAGTAGCGTCCGGCCCGATGCCGTCGGTTGGCCAGGGTTTCCAAGGCCTGTTGCCTGGCCGGCTCCGGAGCCGGCCAGGGAGGGCTTTCTCCTGTTCTCGCCTTTGGAGTTTCAGCCCCGGGTTCGGCTTCCGCTGTACGAGATGCTGTTCCAGCCGGACATCCGGCGAAGTGATTCTCCAGTGTGTGGGCCAGAGGTCCCGACGCTTTCCGGCTCGCCCAGGCTCGGCGGCGATCCCAGCGAGGAAGTGAGAATGGGGCAGGCCAGTTCAGAAGGCGGCGGGGCTGCCCAGAAGCCCTCACGCCTTCTGAGAAGCCGTCTCTCTCTCTCTCTCTCTCTTTGGAGAAGGCCTTGAAAACTTCTCAGAATGTCAGAGGGGTTGGTCGAAAAACAACAGCCGGCAGAAACATACTTTCTTTGACGTCCGCGCGGATTTCTTGGTTCGGCGTTGGGGCCGCTGGCGCGCTCCGCGCGCCAGGGAGTTGGGGTGCAGCGCCGATCCAAGAAATCCGCGTGGACCTCCGTGAACTTGCTTACGCTTCTCTTTGTTCCTCTAGAGAAAGCCTGCCCCATCTGCATTCCCCCCCCCCGAGCTCGCCCAGGTGCCTCCCTCCACCCCCTCGGGAGCCGGCCGGTGTGCGCTGGCCCCGGGTCCGCGGCAGCCAGGACCTCGCCCTGTCGCCGAGCCTCCGGACGCTGTCGCTGGCGGGCCCCGTGGTGTCCCCACACTTCGCAGGCGAGTTTTTTTTCTCGCCAACAGTCCCTGAGCCCATCGGAGAAAACGAGGGGGGGGTAGGATCAGGGTATGCATCGACCCCCGAATCGCCCATTGATCGCCTGTAGGGGCCCGATAGCCCACCCCGCCCAGGAACGAGCGGATTAGCTGTCGGGGGCCCATCGCCGATCTATAGGCGATGTATCGCCGATTCCAGCTCGATGTTTCCTTTCTGAGCTGGTTCCCCCAAAACGTGGCCTCTCAGCCCCCCCACGAAACATCAGGCCGTCAGAATACAGTCGAGTTTGATTAGTAGGTTGACCCTGCCAAATCAAGGGTACCCTTGAGCCCTTGAGTCCTGTGTTCAGGGACCCATGCCGTCTACATTCCTTTGGCAATGCGGCCCTCGGAATGGTGTTGTGTCCTCTCGCGTGTCCTCTGGAGTCACCCTTGATTGTATATCGCAGACCTGAAACAGCACAAACATGCTTTTTTGGCGCTCCGCGCGGATTTCTTGGATCGGCGCTGGGGCCCTCGGGGAATACACCCACGGGGGACTACCCGGACGCACCCCTTATCGAGGATGGGCGCCCCACCATCGTATATCCCCGAGTTGGGGCCCAACTTGTCTGTCCAGTCGAAAACCGCACAAGCTTGGGATTGGAGCCACCAAACTGCCAAACTGGACCCCAGACGAAATCTTGCCCCCATGCAGGGCAGGAGTCGAGACGAGGATCAACAGCAACACAAACATACAGTTGCAAAGGTAGGCGCGGATTTCTTGGATCTGCTCTGGACCTCCGGCAGCGTCTCCAAGTCTTCGCTTGTGTTGTTTTTTCCCGTTGCGAGGAGGAGGCGGAGGAGGAGGAAGAGAAGGAGGAGGAGGAGGATGACTTGGCTGGAAGGAGGAGGGACGAGGACGTGGAGGAGAATACTGGAAGTAGGTGAGGATGGCGGAATACTTGGGATCAGGGGCAGCGTTAGGGGGATAGGCCCATTGGGAATGTCAAAGACCTCCAATCCCCCTTTGATTGCAGATAGGGGCCTGATAGCCCACCCCGCCCAGGGAAGAGCGGATTAGCTATCGGGGGCCTATCGCTGGTCTATCGGCGATGTATCGCCGATTCCAGGTCGATATTTACTGCCTGAGTCGGTCCCTGTTCGTGTTCCCCTTCGTTTCTGTGAGCGCACATCCCTCCTTCGTTCGGCGCCGTCGCCCGGGTCCAGCGAAGCAGGGCGTTCCAGAATGGTAAGGCTTTGGGTTGCTGACAGTGAGGCCCCCCAGGTAGTTTTTAACAGGCCCCCCGGGTAGTCTTGGGTGGTCTCAACACCTTGGCGACGCGTGCGGCGGCGCTGTTTGGGCGCTCCGCGCCCCAGGGTTGGGGTGCTGAGACTGCCCCAGACTATTCGGGGAGCCTGTTGCGCCACCCGAAGCCTTACCATTCAGGAAAGGGCCTCGCTTTCGAGGGGTCGGGAAGTTGGCAGCTCCGCATCGGCGGAATGTGGCAGAAGCCAGCGGGAGTACGACGAGGGCGGCGCCGCCCGCGGAAATCCGTAGAGTTCCAGGTTGCCCCCCCGGCTCAGGTTTCCCGAGCGCCCCGAACCTTGCGCAGGGAAATTGCAATTCAGCAGCTCTTAGCGGCGATGCTGACTCCCAGAGCCCCCGTGCCCGACGGGCGTGGCCCGCGCAACAAGCCTGTCCAGGCGGCGGGGTTTTTCCTCTTGACGCGGCAGTATTTGTTGGGGCGTTTTCCGAGCGACTTGAATATATCTATTGACGCCCTCTCCAGGCCTTGGCGCGAATGCCCACTTTGTTTGGCTTGATCAACGTGGCGAAGGGGATCGCTCGGGGGGGGGGGAGAGGGGGGGTGTCCGACGCATGGCGTGGGGGAGTTGGATCGCGCGGGTGGCCGGCTTCGGCGTGCGTGAGGCTGTCGGATTGGGCCGTCGGACGGGGTGGCATGGTATGTGTATGCGTGTAAGTATGTATGTATTTATGCATGCATGCATGCATGCATGCATGCATATATGTCTGTCTGTCTGTCTGTCTGTCTGTCTGTCTGTCTGTCTGTCTGTCTGTAAGTAAGTAAGTAAGTATGTATGTATGTATGTATGTATGCATGTATGTATGTATGTATGTATATGTATACGCATACACATATATCGGAGGTGAGGGGGTGAGATCGAAGTGGAACGGAGAGCCCCCCTACCGGGAAATCGATTTCGGTTTCGTGTTCGTGCGTGCCGTGCGTGCGGGCGAGGCGAAGCTGCGTGGGCGGGCGAGAAGAAAGTCTCCTGTGGCTGAGGCGCGGCCGGACCAAATGTCTCCCTTCCGGGCGGCCAGTGGCCCGCGGTGTCCCGCTGGTGTCCCGCCGGTGTCCCGCTGGTGTCCCGTGTGGCTGAGGCGCGGCCGGACCAAATGTCTCCCTTCCGGGCGGCGGGTGGCCCGCG